CCTGCTCGCACCCTCCGCCCCTGCCCCGGGGAGGTGCCCTCCTCCCCTGCTTGCTCGCTTGCCCGCTCGCTCGCTCGCCCGCTTGCTTGCTCGCTTGCTTGCTTGCTCGCTCGTCGCTTGCTCGCTTGCTCGCTTGCTCGCTCGCTTGCTTGCTCGCTTGCCTGCTTGCTCGCTGGCACACTCAGGAGGAGTACACGGAGTAGGAGGAGGTGTGCACACCGTCTTCTCTACCATTTCTTCCGGCATCTCTTGCGTCCACACTGGCAGCAGCCGCAGTGTGTACCACCTGTCTAAGTTGGCGCACTCCTCCTGTTTCTCTCTCGGGGAACGCAACAAACAACATATGCGGACGGCGCAGGGTGCGGAGGAGCAGCAACCACGGCATCGCAGCAGCAGCAGCAGCAGCAGCAGCAGCAGGCAACGCGCCACCAGCAGCGACCGCACGGGGGGGAGGAGGGGGCGAAACTGAGGAAGAGAGGGAAGGGGGTGCACGGCGTTGCGGAGAGAACATGACCCCACAACACAGTCTGGGAAACAAGCAAGTCTGGTTGCCGAGACCAGTCGCTGTCGTCGTCGTCGTCGCTGTTCTCCCTAATGGAGGATGACGATTAATAAATGACCGGGGGTCGTGTTCACGCGGCGGCGCCCGGGATGACGATTAGAAACAACCGGCCGCGGGCTGGAACAACTGTTTTTTTCAATCGTTCTCCTCCAGTCAGAAGATTGTGCTGACATCGCAGAAAAACTATGTGTTTAATCGTCCCCTCCCATTTGTTATTCATCGTCATCCCGCATTCGTGTCCGCCCAACGGAAAAAAGTAGGAGGATGACGCACCGAGGGCGCTCCTCGGAAATCCTGCCGTTCGGCGCGGCGCGCGGGCGCGCCCTCGCGGCCCCCCGCCGCGCCCGCTGACGGCGGGCACGCCCCCCCTCAGGCGAAGGAGCGGGAGGAGGAGGAGGAGGGGGGGGAGGAGGAGGAGGAGGAGGAGGAGGAGGAGGAGGAGGAGGAGGAGGAGGAGGAGGAGGAGGAGGAGGAGGAGGGGGAGGAGGAGAAGGAGGAGGAGGAGGAGGAGGAGGAGGAGGAGGTGCGCGACTCCAGGAGGAGGAGGAGGAGGAGAAGAGGAAGGTCCACAGCAACTATCCCTCCTCGACGGCACTCGTGGCTGCGAGCCGGCTGGCCCGCTCTGCGGCCAGCCGCTGCGCCTCGCGGCCAAGCTCCTCAGCCTGGCCGCGCGTGCGAAACCCGAATGCCAGTAAGGCATCGCACAGTGCCACTCTTGGGCACGGCGCGCCCCACCGAACAGGAGGGCCTAGGGGAGGCTCGGCGGCGCGGGCCACAGGGCCCCCTGCGGCGCCTTCCAATCCGAAATGGCTGGCCCAGGGCGCCCGTACCGCCTCCGACGGGCTGCATGCCTCGTCGATGGCCGCATCCCACGCCCAGTGGGGGTGCATCCCACGGCCGACGCGGCTGCGTGCATTCTTTGCTCTCGGGGGTGGCTCACCGTCCCTGGGCGGACAGGGCGCTAAGAGCCCATGGCCCCGACCAGGGCACGTGGCGTGACTCCAACAAGTCGTGCAAACTAGCATTGCTGAGGACGCGCCCCGGGGTCCCCCCTCTGGGCATCGCCACTCGCGAATCTGGGCAGCAAGGAGGCTGTGCCCACGCACGCGCCAGGGACTAACCTGAGGCGGAGCGTCAGCGTGCGCCTCGGGATCCGAGCCCAGACGAGCGGCCGCGCCTGCTATCGCCGCCGGGGCCGAGCCAGCGCCTGCAGCATCAGCGCGCGATTCTCCTCGCGTTCCCCCAATCTCGCCCTCAGACCCCGGCCACCCCTCCACCTCGAGCTCAACTTTGCGGAGGGCCTCGAGGCCTTGATGGTCGCGAGTGCCGGCTTCAGTCAGCACGGCCTCCATGCGCCCCGTGTATCGGGTGAGGAGCCGCGCAAGATGGAGGCAACCAAACAGGAAAGCGCGCTCATCTTCGGCCAGCCGGCCTTCGGCCGCCCCAGCCTTTGCTAGGGCGTCGGCCGCGTGATTCCCGTCGCGCTGCCAAGCCGCGATTCGCCCCTCCACGACGTCGTTCCTCGTCGCGTGCGCGAGGACCTTAGAAAAGGTCACGTCCTCGAGTGCATCGCCAACAGCCGCCTGGCGCCACAGGTGGGCGCGGGGCTGGCCTGGCCCGCTGGCGCTCGCCAGGTTTTGCCCGCAGGCGACAGTGGCACTACAGTCCGAATGCAGCGTGTAGCGGCCGGCGGCGTGCCTTGACGCCATCAGGACAGCATAGTCCTCCCCGTCCCTGGCGGACTGGGACGGGCAAAGATTTCGGGGCACCACCCCGCGCAGAGAGCCCAAGCAACACAAATCGGCGTCGTAGGCAACCACGGCCCAACCAGCCACCCTCAAGGTGGGGAATCCAGCGTCGAAGCAGGCTCCATCGGTGAAAATGTGCCCGCCGTCGAGCACGAGTCCGGTCAGCGGCCAGCGGTCCGCCCGGAGCTCGGCGCCAGGCGGCAGCGGCGGCCGCCGAAAACAAAAGGCAGGATCAGGCAGGAGCACTCGTGCAAAACGTTCCCCGGCCTCCTCCCCGCCCTCCAGCACTCGAGCGGCGGCATCGCGCACCGCTGGGTCAAGAGAATCCGCCCTCCAGGCGCGGTGCGCTGGGCACTGGGAAAATCTATGATGCAAGGTGCCAGGAGAGCCGCGGCAGCACTGGCAAAGGTCGGAAAGCCCCAGCCCCTCCCCCTCCCGGCAGAGGCGGGCCTTGCACCAATGCGTGCAGCAAAGCAGGCCTCGTAGAGCCCGCTTGTGGTGGAGGCTCCAGCCTCGCTCAGCGGGGGCGTGCAGCAGCTCGTTGAGGGGGCGCCAGAAGACGGGCGCAACCCAGCTTTGGCGGCCAGGCCTGACCAAGCGGCCCATGGCGTGAATGTCGGAGGCTTGCCGGGCCGCTTCCTGCGCCTTGAGACGGAAGAAGGCCGGCGAAAACTCTTGGAGGTCCCAGCGGTCGCCCTTCTCGTTCCTCAGCGTGAACGGGTCGTCCAAGCTCCAGCCGACGCGCTGCAGGGTGAGCACCAGCGCCGTGATCGGGTTGCTGCGTCGCCCCCAAGGGAAGCGCTGCGCGGCCAGGTGTCGAGCGCCATCCAATAACACCTGCAGCAGGGACCGCTGGAGAACGCCGTTCCAAACCATTTCGGCGTACGTCTGGATGGCCAGCGCCGTGACTAACACGAACGGGTCGCGCCTCCAGCCGGCGCGCCAGCTGGCCATGGCTAGCCCAAGGGAGGCCCCTCGAGGGAGGCGCCCCTCGGCACGGAGCGCGGCAGCCCGTAGCCCTTTGAGCTTGCCATTCGGCACGCCCTGGATCGCGGTGCCCCACAGCGCCATAGCGCTTGGACCAGCGCGGTGGACAGACGCGATCAGCGCCCCTGCCCGGCGAAGCTGCTCAAGGCGTGCGCCGCGAGCCTGAGCTTCTGCAAACCGCTGGCTCTGCGTGCCCACGCGCCGCTGTCTCCCGGCCGTCGCATCGCCCCCCAGGTCGCGATGGGAGTGCGATCTCTGCTCCATGCTGATGTCCCAGCGCTCGCAGAGCGCCTCCGCGAGAGCCGTGGAGGAGTTGGCGAGGAAACCCGTCTTGCGGTTTGCGATCGGCAGGCCCAGAGCTGCCACGTCCTACTTGACCGAATCGTAGCCCCTCACCAGCTGCTGCGTGACCGTACTCTCCCCGCCGACCCCGTGGAGGGAGATATCGTCGATCACGTTCTTGATGGAGACGATGGGGGCGCAGGCCGCCGCGCGCTTCAGCACCGCCAGGAACATGAGGCGGGCAAGCGACGTGGCGCATGAGCAACCAGCTATGACCCCGCCGTTCACGACCAACTCGCGGCTGACAGCTCCCTGGAGCACCACGCGCTGGCGCGCGCGGTAGCAGCAGCACAGGCACCGCAAGAGCCCGACGTCGAATTCGGCGTGCCGGGCGGCATGCAACAGCTCCGAGTGCGAGATGTGCTCGTAGTATTTGGCCATGTCCAAGAAGACCGTGGCCGAGGCGAGGCCGCGCTGGGAGGCGAACGCAGCCAGCACGTTGTGCACGTACGCGCTTTTATCGCACGCGGTGCGCGAGTCCACCCCCCAGAAGAAACGGCAATCCCGCCTGGACCTTCTGCTCCTCGTCGATGAGGACCGCCCACCGCTTGGCCCCGCCGTAGAGCGCGGGCAGGGACCGGCCGGGGTCGGACACGAGAGGATACGGGAATCCGAACTTGGCCTTCCAGGCGCGGTTGTCCTCCGGCGTGTCGGCGGAGGCGCCCAGGATCTGGGTGTTCTTCTCCGGGAACCTGTCAGCCAGCTCAGCGAGGCCAAGGCCCTGCTTGGTTCAGCCGCCAGTGTCCGCCTTGGGGTACCACCACAGGAGGAGCTTCGAGCCCGAGAAGCTGGACAGGGTGACCTCCCTCCCCGACTCGTCCGCCAGGCTGAAGGCGCCCGCCGCCAGGCTGCGCGGGACCGCCGCCGCCGCCGCCGCCCACGCCACGGCCGCCAGCGCCGCCGCCGCCAGCGCGGCGAGGCCGCCGCGCCGCGGCGGCGCGGGGCGGCGCCGCGCCGCCGCGCCCAAGAGGAGGAGGAGGAGGAGGAGGAGGAGGAGGAGGAGGAGGAGGAGAGGAGGAGGAGGGGACGAGGACGAGACGGAGGACGAGGACGAGGACGAGGAGAGGAGGAGGGGAGGAGTGGAGGAGGAGGAGAGGAGGAGGAGGAGGAAGGAGGAGAGGACGAAGGAGGGAGGAGGAGGGAGGAGAGGGAGGAGGGAGGACGAGGAGGGAGGAGGAGGGGAGGGGAGGAGGAAGGAGGAGGGGAGGAGAGGAGGAGGAGGAGGAGAGGAGGAGGAGGGAGGAGGAGGGAGGAGGGAGGAGGGAGGAGGGGAGGGGAGGAGGGAGGAGGAGGAGGAGGGAGGAGGATGAGGAGGAGGAGGACGAGGAGGAGGAGGGGGCCGGCCCCCGCCCCCCGGGGAGGTGCTCTCCTCCCTGCCCTGGGGCTGCCAGCCGCCCCCCGCGCGGCGGGCGCCCGGCCTGGAGGCGGCCATTTCCGCCTGCGGCGGCGCGGGGCCGAGGACGGGGCGCTCCGCCGCTGCCGGGCGTCAGCCGATCGGCCGACGGCACGCCGATCCGCCGCCGCTCCGCCGCCGACCAGCCGGCCGCCGATCGGTGGATCGCCACCGCCCCAGGGCCCCCTCAGGGAAGAAGTTTCCAGAGTCGGAGCGGGCGGTGTTGCCGCATTCCTGGCCTCTGGAGGCCCTCACCGGCCTTCGGGGCCGTTCAACAAGCAACGATCGTGCTGAGAAACCGGCCCAGGGAAAAGTGGGTCGAGACCTCTGAGGGCCGGCGTTGTGAGAGAGTCGTGGCGTCGGGGGCCTGGGTCTCGCCATGGGCGAAGCGGGTCCTGAGGGAAACGGGTCCCAAGGTCTTGCGCCGTTCTCGGGCTCTCGGGGCCCTCCACGGGCCCCAGGATTGTCAGACAGCGACCCTTGATGAGAAACTCGACCTGGGGGAAGGTGCCCGGGGTCCAGGACCCGTTTCCCTCAGGACCCGTTCCCCCCATGCTGGTTGATTCTCACCGCTTCTCCTCCCATCTCGCCTCCCCCTCTCCTTCGCCCCACCCCGGCTCCTCCGAGCTCCCGCCCTTCATTTCTCGTGGGCGTGCGAGCGGTATGAAGAGAGACACGGTGGTGTCTGGCGGCCGGGAAGCGGGGATCCCACGGTTTGCGAGGTCGACAGAGAAGGCTATGAGCGGCATTGTATGTACGGTGGGGGTTGGGGCCAGCTCGGGGTCGGAGGATCGACGACGACGACGATGACGACGACGACGACGACTACGACTACGATTACGAGTACGACGACGATGACGACGACGACGACGACGACGACGACGACGACGAAGACGACGACGACCCGACACCGACCGCGGCTGCGACGACGGCGACGCGGAGACAAGGAGGAGGTGGGCAGGCAGAAGGAGGTCGCGGAGGAGGGAAGGAGGAGGGAGGAGGGAGGAAAGAGGAGGGAGGAGGGAGGAGGGAGGAGGGAGGAGGGAGGAGGGAGGAGGGAGGAGGACTGCGCGCCGGTCTGGAGGGAGCGAACAGCGGGCTGGAGTCGGCGGGGGGTCCGCGGTGGCCCAGCACTGGTTCACTGGGCAGGCAGGAACGGAGGGCATTGGTCCGCTGTTCTGTGTCGGAGTCGGGCACCTCCTCCTCCTCCTGCTCCTCCTCCTGCTCCTCCTCCTCCTCCCCCTCCCCCTCCTCCTCCTGCTCCTCCTCCTCTCCCTCCTCCTCCTCCTCTCCCTCCTCCTCCTCCTCCTCCTCCCCCCCTCCTCCTCCTCCTCCTCCTCCTCCTCCTCCTCCCCTCCTCCTCCTCCTCCTCCTCCTCCTCCTGGTGGCGGAGGTATCCTCGCGCGCTCTCGGCGCGCAGCCGCCGTCGGGTGGTCCACAGCTGCGTCCGAATATTAAGAATGGTCCTCCTCCTCCTCCTCCTCCTGTCTCCTCCTCCTGCTCCTCCTCCTCCTCCCCTCCCCTCCTCCTCCTCCTCCTTCCCCTCCTCCTCCTCCTCCTCCTCCTCCTCCTCCTCCTCCTCCTCCTCCTCCTCCTCCTCCCTCTTCCTCCTCCTCCTCCTCCTTCTCCTCCTCCTCCTTCAAGATGAAGTCGGGAATCTTCAAGAATGGTCCAACCACAATATGGTGACGATGTTTCGTGCTCGGCTGGCGATTGTTGACCATCTTTGGACCAGTTCTCATTTTCTTCCAGGATCCGCGTGCAGAAGCACAGGTTCGAGAATCTGTGGTTTTGCCTTGTCTTCGGCCTCCAGGGGCCCCTGCCCCTCCAGGGGCCCCTGCCCCTCCAGACGCGGGTCCGCTGGGAGCAACTGCGCACAAGATGGACCCCAGGAGGGGTCCTGAACCGATTTTCGAGCGGGTGTGTCCCTGTGATCGTCTTATCCATTGTCTTGCCGATGGGCGCGGGCTCGCACTCCCCCCTCCCCCTCGCGGAGTAGATCTTGGCTGTTCTGGGCGCCTGTTTCGAATGGATGGAGTCTCCCCCAGAGGAAGCACGGTTGCAACCAGTCGCGTTGAGCAGAGGCCCGGAACCAGCCCCCCTCCCCCTCTTTTCCGCGTAATGTCGAAACGCCGAATATAGGAACACGTTCACCTTGTCCCCCCTTCTTGACCGATTTTCTCGGGCTCACGCAGTTCAGACCTCCAGGCCGCCTGCAAGCTGTGGGGGCGTTCTGTAAAGGACTGTGCCCAGGAAGCCCCAGACCCTGGACGATTCCCTTTCTGATGAGGGCGGGGGTGATATCTATCTATAACCAGTCCACGACTGGATTCCTTGTCCAACGGTTCCGCATTCAATGCCCTCACCATGTGTGAAGAATGGTGACGAAACATAAACACTCGGAGGTCCGCGCATATTTCTCGAACCGGCGCTAGACCCCCCCTCCCTGAGTCCGCCAGGGGGCCTCAGCGCCGGTCCGACGTATCCGCGCGGATCTCCGAGTTCTTACGTTTGCGCCCATCAGAACATTCTAGAAAAAGCATCAACGTTCGTGGACCCCAGATTTCGCCTCAGAAATCAAGAGTCTGGACAGGACCCTGGCCGTTCTCTTGGATCCTCTTTTTCCGCAGGACGCTCGTGCATTTGGACCTGGACTGTTGTCTGAGAGACCGCTTGCAGCGAAGCCCCTGTCCTGAGCGGGAAAGTCTTCCTCACTCGACGCAGGGGTGCACGCCGTGGTCAGCCCCCTGCACGAAGACCTCCCCAGACCCCCGACGCCATGCGTTGTTCATCACGCCGACCCTCGGAGGCCTCGACACCCCTCCCCCCGGACCGGCATCTCATCCCGAGCCGGTTTGTTGACGGTCCCTATGGGGCCAGCGGGAGCATCCACGGGGCCGAGGATACGACGGACAAAATTCAAGGGGCCCAAGGACACACAAATAAATACACACACAAATAGCGAGATTCCCAATGTCCCAATGTTTTCCCATATTTTCTGGTTGTTTGTCTTCCCCCCCACTTCCTATATTTTCCCATATTTTCTGGGGAATCGACGATTGATTGTGTCTGTGTGTTTTTTCCCCTGAAAAACCTCCTGCTGTGATTCTCTTTCATTGCCCGAGGGGGTCTGGGAGACCTCCTGTGCGAGCTGCCCTCCGAGAAGCTCGACCACATGTGTAGTAAGAGTGACCCTTCGCTGGCGTGGCCTTTGGCGCGGGCCCAGTGGGGTGCCCCGACCGTCGAAGGCGATGCGATAGTGGCCTTCTTGCGCGCTCGCGTGTTGGTCGCCCCGCGGCCCCCAACGAGCCGCGCACTACAGGCCACTCTTCCCGTTGCGGGAGATCGATCGTGAGATCGATCGTGAGATCGAGAGGTGTCCCGCGGTGTCCCGTGGTGTGGTGTCCCGTGGTGGCCTGCGGTGCCCCGTGGTGTCCCGTTGAGTGCGATCGATCGTGAGATCGACAAGTGTCCCGTGGTGTCCCGTGGTGTCCTCCTCCTCCTCCTCCTCCTCCGCCTCCGCCTCCTCCTCCCCCTCCTCCTCCTCCTCCTCCGCCTCCGCCTCCGCCTCCTCCTCCTCCTCCTCCTCCTCCTCCTCCTCCTCCTCCTCCTGTCCCTCTTGCGACTATGGCCGAGAAGCCGCCCGGCCCCTGGGGCGCCCGGAGGAGGCCCGGCCCCGGCCCGCAGCACCCGCTCGGCGCCGCGCCTTCGAGCAGCGCGCTCCCGAGGCCGCCCACGGCCTTCGCCCCGAAGGCCCGGCGAGGGGGGGGGGCGCTCGCTGGGCCGCCGTCGTGGGGCAGGAGGGGCCGGTCGCGATCGGAGGCGGCCAGAGCTCGGGGGGAGCAAGCAGCGAGCAACGACCTTCGAGCATTCATCGAAGAAGAAGAAGAAGACAGACAAGAAGATATATATATAATATTATAGTAATAATAAGAATACGAATAACAGTAGTAGTAAATAGTTTTACTAATATTAATACTAATACTAATACTTGTAATAATAATAGTAATAATAGTAATAATAGTAATAATAATAATAATAATATTAATAATACTAATAATACTAATAATAATAGTAATAAGCATAAAACTAATAAGAAGAAGACGAAAACGAACAATAAGAAAAACAAGAAAACGCCATATACATAAACTTTTGGCGCTCCGCGCGGAATTCTTGGATCCGCGCTAGGCCCCCACGGCGGCGCCTCCGGCGCCGGCCCTGGCGCGCTCCGCGCGCCAGGGAGGCAGGTCCAAGAAATCCGCGCGGAGCGCCAGAAGCTTATGTTCCTGCCGTTTTTGTCTTCGTCTTCTGGTATATGTTTGTGTCAGTGTTCGCTCCCCGCAGGAAGGGTGCGTCAGAAGAGCTATAGCTGTGGAGGTAGCTGTGGCTAGGCCTGCGCCCCTCCCCTCCAGCCCGACCCGAGGCCCCCCATGGCTCGACCTGGGGCGCCCCCCGGGCAGCCGTCGAAGTCGCCCTCCTCGAGCAAGACTCGGGGGTGGACAGGACCCCCAACAGTGACACGTGGATTAGGGAGGAGGAGGAGGAGGAGGAGGATGATGATGCCCGCGGGGTAAGGCGACCGTGTCGAGCCACGGTCACCCTAGCGCGCGCCCCCGCGCGCGCCGAGCCTCGGCGCTGCTACGCGCCCGAGGCCGTTGGGCAGGCCTCACCCCGCGCCGCCCGCAGCAGCCTTGCCACCTTGGCGGCCAAGCCTGGCGGCTGCTGCGCTCCCGCGCGCGGCGCCGTGGCCTCGGCCAGCCGCCGCTGCCGTCCGCAGCCCCTGCTTCGCATCGAGCAGCAGAGCCATCTGCAGGCGGCAGGCTCTCCTCCTGCATCCTGGCCTCGCTGGCCTCGGCTTTGCCGCCCGCAGCCCCTGCTTCGCATCGAGCAGCAGGTTCACCTGCGGGCGGCTGGCACTCCTCCTGCTGCCTGGCACCCTCGGCCACGCGATGCGGGGGCGGTCCGCCGCCACCGCCACCCTCGGCCGCCTCGTCTCCTACCTCGGCAGGGCCCGCATCACGGCGCTGGCCGTCCTCCTGCTGCCTGGCCACCTTTGCCGCCCGCCTGGGCGACCGCGAGGGAGGCGCCAGGGCGGACCGCCTCGGCGAGCTGCTGCGCTCACGCGCGCGGCGCCGCGGCCCAGGCCCGCCGCCGCCGCCCGCGGGCCCCTCCTCTCCTCCTGCCGTGGGGCCGTCAGGCAGCAGCTGGCTGGCCGCTCGCCGCCTGGCCACCTTGGCCCTGCTGCGTGGCGACGGCGAGCGACTGCGCCCGCGCTCGCCACTCCGCGGGGGTGCACCATCCCCTCCTCTGCCCTCGTCGTGCACCACCCGCGCGGTCACCTGCGCGTCCGCGCCTCCGTCCTCACCAATGGCCGCCAGCGCCTGGTCCGCCAGCCCGCGATGCACCTCCTCGTCCATCAGCTCCCCGCTCTGGTCGTCGAGGCGTGCGATGACCACGGGCACCACCCTCGCCGTGCGGGGTGCGAGCCCTCTCCTCAGCTTGGCCACCACCGCACTGCCAGCAGCGGACGGCGGCAGCTTGCACTCTCCGTTGAAGCCGCTGGCCCTGGCGGCGCCCGCCAGCCCGCAGAGGCGGAGGAGGAGGAAGAGGAGGAGGAGGAGGAGGAGGAGGAGGAGGAGGAGGAGGGCGTGGAGGAGGAGGAGGAGAAGGAATGGGAGGAGGAGGAGGAGAAGGAGGAGAAGGAGAGTGAGAGAAGGAGGAGGAGGAGGAGGAGGAGGAGAGGAGAAGGACGAGGAGGAGGAGGAGGAGGAGGAGGAGGAGGTGGAGGAGGTGCAGGGGGTGCAGGAGGAGTGAACTGTCCGTTTTCGGTTCTCTAGATGGCGCCGTGGCCGTTATTCTCCAGGCTTGCGCCCGCCAGGTTTGGGCCTCAGGTCGTGAACCACGTTTTACTACTAAAGGGGGGTCTGTCCATCCCCGAAAGACCGTTGCGCCGTGCCCGACTCGAGATGCGGCGGGCCTCCTGGTGTGCCGGGTCCTTAAGCGAAACCCTGAGATCCCGGCGTCGCCATCTCGTCACAACGGGCCGTTCTTTGGCCCGCTTCGGGCCCCTGGATCTCTCACACATCGATCCGGCTCGAGTGATGCCGCAGGAAGCCGGGGTCGGGGTCACTCCGATCGCGCTTTCTTGCGATGCTGCAGTGGGTTCGAGGTGTCGGAGCTGAGGGAAAGGGGGGTGGGAATCGGGAGCGGGGGGCTCACGAAGTCTGCTGCATGCAGCTGGTCTCGGCCTCGCCGCCAGGCGCTTTCCTCGATGCACGGGCGCCACCGGCGCCTTGAGGCGCCTGGGAATGTAAACCCGCTGCTTGAGCTGATTCGCTAGCCCCCCCCGCTGCATTCCCCCCCTTCCGTCCGACCCGATGGTGTGGGGCCCCTGCGGAGCCAGATCTGAGACGCCTCGAGGTTTCCGATGTCTCGGTAGCTGGCCTTTTTGTTTGCTATAGATGTCATTAGGTTTGCTTTCCGAGTGCCCGAGGTGAGAAAGAGCGCGTTCTGTGGTCGCTTGGAGGGGGAAGGGGGGTCTGGAACGGGACCAGGTCCCCCCCCCCTGGAGGATGGAGGGGGGGGGCTCGAACCCTCCCCCCCCCTCCCGTGACGGAGGGGGAGGGGGGTTCGAACCTTCCCCCCCCCCTCCTCCCCTACTCCTCTCTCCCTCTCCTCAGCTGGTCGGCTGGTGGTGGTGGGTTGTGGTGGTGGTGGTGGCGGGGTGGTGGTGGTGGGTGGTGGTGGTGTGGCGGTGTTGTGGTGGTGGTGGTTGTTGTGATGGTGGGTGGTGGTGGGGGTGGTGTGATGATGGTGGGTGGTTTGTGGTGGGTTGTGGTGGTGGGTTGTCGGTGTGGTGGTGGTCGGTATAGGAGGTGGAGTGGTGTGGTTTGTGTTGGATGGTGGTGGCTGTGTTGTGGCAAGGTGCGTTTGGTGGTGGGTGGTGGGGGTTTGTGGTGGTGGTAGTGGTGTGTGGTGGTTGGTGGTTGTGGTGGTGGTGGTGGGGGTTGTGGTCTCTTTTTTTTTTTTTCCTCTTGGGTGGGGTGGTGTGGAGATGGGGGTGGTGGTGTGGTGGTGGCCGGTGGTGGTTGTGGTGGAGTGGTGCTTGGGTGGTGGTGGGGTGTGCGGCTGGTAGTGGTGGTGGGGTTGCGGAGGTGGTGGTGGTGGCGGGTACATTGTTGGTGGTGGTGGTAGGTGGTGGTATGGTGAGGTGGCGAAGGTTTTCAAGGTGGTGTGTGGTGATGGTGAGTTGTGGTGGTGGTGTGGTGGGATGGATGTTTGGTGGGTTGGTGGTGGTTGGTGGTGGGTTTTCGGGCCGCGGTGGATAGGGGTTAGTGGTGGTGGTCGCCGTCCGACGGCGCCAGCGCCGGCGCTTGCTGGCCGCCGCCAGCGCCGGCGCATGCGCCAGGGGGGGGGGGGGGGGTGAAATCATCCCCCCCCGTTGGCTGCTCTGGTCATCGTCGCTGCGTCCCCGCCGTCGGCGCTGCTGGCGGCCGCCGGCGCTGGCGCTGGGGCGCGGAGGGGGAGGTTCGGGAGGGGAGGGGTTTGGGGGGGAGGGGAGTCCCCCCTGGTTTTGATCGACGGCGCCGAGTGTTGGGGGGGGGGGCCCACCCCCCGGTTCGAAACGCGCCGCCGAATGTTCCCAAGGCGAGCGCCCGTGAGCCCCCGGTTCGAAACGCGCCGCGAATGTTCCCGAGGTGATGTACTTTCCAATGTCGGCTCTGGCGTTTTTCTTCGATTTCGGCTTTGGGGCCCGCTACCGAGCTCTGGGTCATAAAACATGCATGCGGGACGACAAGCTGAATTGGGGAGGGGTTCTGGGCCTCTGTGGCCGAGCGCTCCTAAAAGTCACATCGTCGGATGTCTGGGTTGCTCGAGTGTTGCCAGACGTGTCCCTGGCACAGGTGTCTCCAGGACTCCAGGAATCCCCAGGATGGCCTCAAGGACACCCTTCACGAGGCCCTGAGGTCGAGTAGGGGGCCGGCTACATAATTGATTGTCCACAGACTTGACTTGTTCGCCGAATCCGCGAAGATACGTAGACTGCGCCGTAGATCTACGAAGCATTCTACGTATTTGTTGCAGATTCGACAACAATTTCAATTATGGGAGGGAAAATTCCATTCTGCAGTCGATCCCCTACTCGAAGAGGGCCCCCAGGGGCTCCAAGCTGGCCCAGAAAAGCTGGTGGCGCCCTGGCAGGGCTCGTTTCGCTTTCCCCGATTCGATCCAATTCGACTTCGATGGCGTCCGATTCCGATTCGATTCGGCTCGGGATTCCGATCTGGGTCCCGATTTTTCACTGGAGGCATACTACTGACCTGCCGATGTCCGCCGATTCGACTTTTCCCGACTCGGCCGCCGATTTCCGCCGATCCGATTCATGCCTTTGGAGTAATGTTTGGGTTTTTTGTTTTTCGCCTGAAATCCCCCTGTAGGGGGGACAGGCCCGACCTAATTCCGGGCCCTCCCGCCCTGGGCCCAGCAGCCGCCCCGGAGGGGACCCCGCAGGGGCCCCCGCCGGAGGCGTCCGGCTCGCGCACGCGTGCGCGGTTTCGCCCCCTGTCGAGGGGGCTCGCGCGGCGCTCGCGCGAGATGCTGGCGGGGCACCTTCGCTGCGCGTCTTGGCATCGCTCGCTGCGCGTGCAGCTGTGCTTTGCGAGGGCCATCGAGGAGCATCTTTTGGCTCCTCGCGCGAGACGTGCACGCACGAGGCCGGAGCAGGGGCGGGGAATTGGACGCCCGAGGCGAGG